GCTTCTGTGCGCCCACTATGAAAAGGAGCTTCACCATTGGTGAGCATTAAGATCTACTCCAGTGGAGTGGTTTTGTACTATGTTAATTTAGCTAAGCTAGAACTACAGAATTTCCTAGAATTCCCTTACTCATAGGGTTACATGTTAGGTTTGACCAGATCATGAGATTTGGAAGGTGGAAGTGAAGCAGTAGCCACTAAGGTTAAAAGGAGCAGGTGACAGGTGGCTGCCCCATATCTCCTGGTTTATCTTGTTGGTCTGGGTCCGTAGTCAGCCCACAGTCCTCCAGCTCACATCAGATCTCCTCCTGCATCTTCTCAGAGTCCTGGGTCAGATGCACGTGCATTTCCATGGTGAAGGGTGTCAGCTTCTTTTTTAGGTCATGTGCACTATGGAGTTTGGAAGTGGTGAGAGCTGGGTGCGGATTTTAGTTTGTCCTCATGGGTTCCAGCTTGTCCTTGCTCTCCCCCACTCCGCACCCAATTTTCTTTCCTGTCAGCTCCACTGACTAACAGTCCCTTCAGACCCACTGCCAGATGCAGAAGCAGCACCTTCCATTGAGTTCTTCACCAATTCTTCATCATACCTATATGATGTCCAATCCCTATAATAAAATTTTTAGTCCATGTTATGGATAGTGATTTTGTTTCCTGATAAAACCCTAATTGAAAGTCATGAATTAATATTAATTTTTTTTTTATAAAGCAAGGCCTAATTTTAAGGTATTGTGGTCACAGAATTTTTATTTGAGTACATTGCTGAGATGACCAGGATCACAGAGACACTTTTGACCCATGTTGAAAGAGAGGAGCAAACAGGTTATGGTATACAAAATGGAGGACACAATTGTCCACAATGAAGATAATTATAAAAACAACAAAACAGAGAGCACAGTTGTTAGAGCAGGGAGAGGCCTCAGAAGCCGCTTTTCCCTACACAAGTAGATTTGAGGGAGGCGAGCTTTGGAAGGCTGCACTGCAGTGGGTTGCAGAGGAAATCCGCACCTGCATCCACATGCCCACAGCTGTGAGGAGGGCAACTCTGCCTGGAGTTGATTTTGCCCCAATGACCAGAGTTAAAAGCGAACAGGCTAATCTGGGGGGAAATCCATATTAAAATAGTAAAAAACAGAATTTTCTGTTAAATTGAGTCACACCGAGTTTAATAACTTATCTGTTTCTATACATTTTCTACCTGCAGAAAATTTGGTGTCTGTGTTTGCTTGCCACGTGACTCTATGTGAGGCGCCAGCACCTCTGCTGTGGGGGAGGGACACAGGTGAGGCTGATGTACACAGACTTCTGGGCTGGCGTTGTTCTCTGAAGACTAGGTCTTCCTAAGACTTGCTCAAAGCACCCTGGTTGGCCAGGCTGGGGCAGGGTGGCTTGCGGACTTCCATCACACTCCCCTCCGCATGCACACTGCTGCCCTTCGTGCCAGTTACTCTCACTGGAAGAGGAACTCCCCAACCCAGTTCCCCTCCCCCAACTTTTGTTCTGATTCCCAGCAAAACAATTGTTGCCACACTACTTCAAGGAACTGTGGCACACTGGGAAATACTCATATGAGCAAAGAATTCTATTTATAGATTGCATGTGATTCGCACTACCCAGGTTGATTTCAGCTCTTGCATGCTTAGTTCTCTTCTTAAGGGAACTATCATTTGAAGCAGTAAGTGTTAAGAACCAGGAAATCCCAGACAACCAAATGGCCTGTGCCCGCTGAGCTCATGCTAGGCACTAGACACAGTGTACATATACTGATAGGTGTTGGTAAGTGGGGATTTGGCCAACTCCCAATAAGCCCTGGACACATTGGTCCATCTGGCTTAGCTCACCAATGTGGTTCAAGCTTATCAGTGTTGGGGGGTACCTGTGGATCTAGTTAGTTTTCAGCACCTCACATTTTGCTATGTGAAATAGCAATAGTAAATGCCTTTTTATACCAAGAGAGATATTAGAAACATGGCAAGAACTGAAATAAGCACTTAAGTATCACACACAAAAAAGTTTTACAGATCCAATTTTATTAATATTACTAGTATTAACATAAATTATGTGCCCTTGACATGTTACATTAAAATGATGTTTTTTGAGGCAAATAGAGTAATCTCTTGCAGGAGAAAAAACGTCACACTTGGTGATCTGAGAAGTACTGGCATGATAATTTCATAAATTATTCAGGTCTGTGGAAACACTCCAGTTCAGAGATGGGTACCTGGACTTTTCAGATTTCTCAATTTTCACATGTATTTTAGCTCTCGGGTTTTGATATTGTGTGTTTTCTTCTATGAAGTGGGATAGCTTTCTCAATAATTATTTTAGAAAGAACAACCCTCAACGGTCCTCAGGCATTTTCTAAAACCTGGAATTAGTTGTCAAAATTTGAAAATAGAGAGCTTACCATGGCCTCCCCACTGCCTACATATGGTGCACACCCCACCATTCCATGCATTTGAGTTACCTGCCTAGCTCCTGTAGCATCTGTGTTTGTGTTTAAGATGTCTGCCTCCTTTGTTGTGCATGTGTCATATATCAGAGCACATTGTTGTTATTCCGTGTAGCTTTCAGAACAGCTGTAGGGAATACACCATCCTATAGCAGTTGCTCTTCCACAAACCGTTGTTCTTTGCTTGTTTAAGGGCTATCTCTTGAGTCTGTAATCTGTTATGTCATGATGCCTGTGCAATATTGACTTGCTTATGTCCAGTCTACTGGGTCCCTGGAGAATAAGCCCTTTCTTCCCATTAGCTAACGTGACTGTGGACTGGGAAGCAGAAATCCCCATCCTCACCTTCCCTCACCACCTCCCCAGCCTCCCCACTCATTGTCGGTCCTGGGGGTGGGGGCTGAGGGTGGGCCACACTGCATTACCGTTGGTAATAAAACAACTATCAAAGAAAGAGAGCAGCTGAAACATCGAGTTGTGAGCTGAGAATATGGGATAAGCACACAATTAGTTCTGACTTGAGTGAAATATCTCCTGGCCATTACCAACAATCTACTAGAAACGGCATCCTCTTCACCAACAGAAAAATGTCAATATGCAAGAAAATAAGCTCTTTTCTAAGTTAGCTTTTTAATGGGTAGAAAATGTAAGTCTTTGCATGTATACAATTTATTTATTAATATTATAGTCCTGTATGATATAAGCATTTTCTCATCTAAAAATGTTATTTTAACTCAGAAAACATACTTGCATTAAACTCTTGAGCCTCAGAATGGAGCACAGAGGGGAACAAAGCCCTTTTGACACTAAAAATTTTATTCAGCAGAAACTGATACTTTTAAACCAATATGGATTTTAATAATTAAATATTTTTTAAAAATCTCCCTTAACATCAAAGATGATTGTATTTAATATCACTATATAAATATAAGGAGGTTAACTGATACTTAGCTAGGTCAAATATTCCAGTTGCATTAACAAACATATACATAACAAATATAAATTTATATCAAATGTCAAATTTCCCTTTATCTTTTCCATCATGAATCTAATGCCCTGGAAAGTGCCTTTTTTGTCTGCTTGTGTTTTTTCCTGTTTTGTTTTGCTTTATAATCTCTAAGCATTTAGGCAGAAAAGAAAGAGGCATTTAAAAACACAACTGAAAAATATTAAAATTTTGATGAAATAAGAATCTTGTAAGTTGCAATCTCTTTTGAATACTTCCCGCAGGAGAAAATATGCTGTGAAAGAGTGAGCTGCCACTACACGATGGTTGGGGACGTCAGGTCATTTCTAGGGAGCAGTTGCATAGCCAATGGCTTATTCCCTATAAAACAAAACTATCATGGTGTCAGAAAAGACTAGATAGTTCATCATCTGAAAAACAGGTTGCCCACACCTGTATAAATTAATTTATTCTCTTGACCTTTAGTTCAGACATCAGAAATATTTTATTTTGTGCTGTAATAGAGACAGGTTTCTATATTGGAATATGCTCAATATTGACCGCCTTTCCATTCTCTTCCCTATCCATACAACTCTGTCCGATTGAAATATTTTAAAGCGTTCTTTTCACCTAATACTGTTAATAGCAATCATGATCTTGGATTTTAAAAATGGCTGCTTTCATCTACTTTGATTTTGGTGAAGCCATTTAAAAAAAAATAGTGATACAGTTTAAAGTTTTCATAAAGAATTAAGGGTAATTGAATGACAGCTGAATTTCTCATGTATTTATAGACTACTAGGTTCAAAGTCTGTGCTGATGCAAATGCATCACAACTTCTTAGTATCTTTGGCTCACGGATGTCAGGATCCTTTAGCTACTGGTCAGGGAAAATACTACCACATCAAGAGTGAGGAATTCTTAGTTTGAGGCGATGTTGGGGGGTACCAGTAGATCTAGTTAAGAAATTCATTGCTGCAGGTTCGAATAGCTTTGTTTCAAGTTTACATTTTAATAGTGTGTAGAAGAAGGACTGGTTCAGGTTCTTTTCTGTAAATGTTTTGAACAGTGGGTAAATATTAAAGTGGGCTAACGTGAACTCTTTATTAATATATTCTACACAGATCATGATCTGAGATTTTAAGGAACCAGTAGCTTAAGCTATATCAGAACAGTACAAAAGCTTTAAAAATTGTCTATGCAAACTCTGTCTGGACCTTAAACCTTGTTAGTAATAACCGAGAGTTTAAAGACTCTGGAGGCAATCTTTTGTTCCTGGGGGGCAAAGTCCAGAAGGTCAACTTGCAAAACATTTCCCAGAGTCTAGTGTCATGTGTCTTTCCTTCCTTGTCACACAGCCCTTCTCCTGACACTTTCATAATTCGTATTTTGCTGTACTCCTCCAAATGTATAGCCTCTAAGAATAATCCGACCATGCCAGGTTATTTTCTCCCTTGACAAATTCTGACTGCATGTTTTAACATAAAAACAATTTGGGTAAGAAGTTATTGTCTTTTTACATTCTGAAAAGCCCTTACAGGTACAGTTTTAAATATGCAATTGAAATGCTGTATTTTCTTGAGTATTCAATACATTTCCTTTTTTCCCTAACTGCAGGAATAGGATAAATAAAAACACTTGGTTCCTTAAGCAGTTCTTTAAGCACAGCAAACATGAAACCAATAGTTTTTACTCCATGTTTATAAAAGGCAATGCCACCATCATAAGTTTCTCAGTATTTTCTGTCACCTTTAAGCATTTTCATTTATAAATCTCAATGCATTTTACTAGCATACAAACGTTCACAAAAAAAGTCTTTCCTGGGACTTACTGTTGGCTTTTTATTCCCCAAATCTTTTAAAATCTTAGCCTATTCATGACTTAAAACATGTTTTTAACACTTTACATGAAAATCTCCTTTTGTGCTCCACGTTGACAGAGCCCATCCGAATCCCGGAGAAAGCAATCGCGTTCCAGTTATGTTGTCAGCATGAGAGGGATAAGCTCCAAAGTACTAAGTTCCTAGAGCTGTAAATCCATTGTGTTTCATGTTATAAACAAGAAAATTGCCCTGTGACAGCTACGGTTTGGAAGCATTAACGTTTTTCTTTTCAACTCTTTTTTAATCTTTTCAGTTATTTTCCTTAAGAAAGCCACCAAAGTATGCCTTCCTAGATCACGGACCTATATGCCACAGTTAAAAGAAATTCCAACCAACCATAACAGGGGTTGGAGTCAGCAATTAAGACAAAACTGACTCCTACCGATTTTACAGAGACAGTCCTCTCTGCCCTGTGTCCCCTTCCACCCTGCTCCTCCCTGCCTTCTCCAGCCCCGTGAGCAAATTCCTTCCCCCCATGCATGGAGAGTGTGATGTGAGCTTTCTAGTAGCTGCACTTTAGGCTGGGCCTTCTCAACCATGAAAACACAGTTATAAATTGTCCTTGGAGCTAACCCACTCCACATCTTGGCACTGGGTTGTTTTTAACTTCTCAACAATAGGCACTGTTCATCCCCTCCCTCTCAGCTCTTTATTCAGTGCTCAGGCAGGACACTGATGAAAGGCTAGTCACGGCTTCCCCCCATGGTATCAGTGCGGTGGCATGTGATGATTCACATGGGGTGTGTTTGATCCGAGGAAGCCCAGTCTCTGCTTATTCTTCCTTTGTTCTGTCATCTGGGGGGAAAGAGAGAGAGTGAGTTCAGCTGATTCTCCCACTCCTACCCAGGGCTGGAAGTGCTGGGGGCCACAGCGGTTCTGAGTTGATATTTCCCAAGTACCTACTGTCTGGCATCATATAGAATATACGTATTAAAAAAAAAAGGCAATTTTTTTTTAAAAAGTTAATTTCCATAAACAGAGAAAAAGAACAAACCCCTCTCTGTGGTTCTTTTAAAAGACCTTGCTTGTCACATAATTGTCACCATCACCATGGTCATTTTAATAGCTACCATGGTTACTGCTGATATTTTTCCTAACAATTTCATATGATAAAGGAGTTGCTTACAGCGTCGAAATGGCAGACACTAACGACGATCTGCCTTTCTGATGACTTTAGTCATTGCTACCATGTCAGAAAATATGAATTTCTATCAAAAAGTACAAAGAGGTCCTTGCATTTTGGCATTTCCTTCTTCTTTCCCCCTTCCATAGAAGGAAAAGTGTCACACACGGGGGGAGGTGGGATAAGTAGACGTCCCTGCTTGCCGAGATGTGTTCTATAGCGCAGCATGAGGCTTCCTTGCCAGAGTTTATAATGCTCTGTGGATAACGTCTGGCTCCGAGGGGTTTCTGGGTCTCCCCTCCCTCAAGGTGGTGAACGACCCCACTCCACCCCCAGCACCCACTCCCCACCCCCAGGGTGCACCAACCTGCTCCTTGAGCTCCGCCAGCTGCCCCGACAGCTGTTTGACCAGACTCATGGTCGATTCCAACTTCTCCTGAAGGTTCCGAATTTCATTTTGCTCACTGTCACCTTCATTGCTAACAAGGGACATGGCTCGCATCCGAGGAAACCAGTCCAGATTCTTCTCCTAAAAGCAAATAGATGTGCAGGAACAAGGGAGTAAGTATGGAAGGGAGCCTAGAGTCCTATAAAGAATGCATATAGGTGTTCATTGTTATTAACATTTAAATGAAAGTCTTTTCGCGCTCAGACCAAAAGGCACTCTCTGGCCAGGGCTGAGGACAGGAATAAAGTGGGGCTTTAGGCAGCCTCCATGGGCTGGAGGAAGATCTCAAATACTGGAGCAAACTTCCCGTGGGTTCCCGGGGAGGTCCCAGATGAAGCAGTTAGAACAGCACCATGAAGCCTGCGGGCAGTCAGGGAACGCTGAAAGATGCTCTGGAAGCTGGGAGAGCAGAGCCAGGTATGCGGGATAGGCACAGCACAGGAAGAGCTGCTTCTCTTTCACCCTGGCACAGAAGAGAGGGGTGGCGGAATAGGAAGGTGATAAAAGAAATGTCCTAGCCCCAGCCACCCATGCTAGTTTGCTTCCCACTTCCCCAGGAGAAGCTCTCACCAGCTCTGCAGGCCTCTGAACCCCACTCAGGCAAGAGGGAAGTGGGAGGGCATGGTGCTGGGTTACTCTGTCTGCTCCCTTTGGAAACATTTTATTACAGTGGGGTGAGGTTTCAGAGTTAGACTTCCTCAGAGGGCAATAGCTGGTACCACTTCCGTTTTTCTAGGCAGACTGGGTGTAGGTGCCGTGTGTGTGTGTGTGTGTGTGTGTGTGTGTGTGTGTGTGTGTGTTTCCCCTCCATTGTGGTAGAGACAGACAGATGCTCTCGTGAAAACTCTGTCTGATTGCCTAACATCACAGAATCATTATATTACTTACGTTACATTTTTCAATCTTCAAAAAGGCTCTGCAAGATAAATCACATTGTCCTCATTTTACAGATAAGAAAGTAAGAGGCTTCAACAGTTTAATTGCCCATGTCTCAAGCTCATAAATGGTAGAGCTGGGATTTGAAGCCTTTCCACCATTGGGTGTGTCAGTCTTTGTCTCTGTCCACCCAGTTCTCTAAATCACCTTTCCCCAACATCCCTGGTAGTGAGCTTCCTGCTTAAGATTCTTTCCACTTCACAAAAGTCCACTGAGGTGGCTACAACAACCTCTTCCTGGGGGATCCCTAGAGTGAGAGACATCTGAGTGCGCTCCTTCCTTCCCTAAGTTACGGTGGAAAGGCCCCATCTGTGATCTGTGTATCTGGATGGCAGTCTCAATCTCACCTGGCCCTCAGGTTGGCTTTTTGTGTTGGTACTAGTCAGGGAATAACAAGTTCTTTATAGTTCCCTACCCCCCATGGATGAAAAGGACTGATAAAGAATTAAAGATAAAACATCTTGAAGAGTTTTAAACTGCATTTAAATAGCTGTAGCAAATCAGCATTTCAAAGGAGGACAGTAACTTACTCTGAAGTGCAAAGTGACAGACAGATTCATTCATTCAATCAGTCCCCTAACTTCTATTATTATGTATTTAGGAGTGAAAGGCAGATAAGCCGTGTGTCTGCTCTCACAGAGCTTGTGGCTCAGGACAGCGCTCCACAAAGAGGGGACTGCACACTGTGTCTATCAGCATCCCCTAGGGTAGCTTGTTAAAATTGAGATTCCAACCCCACTACCTCCCACCCAATCAGGACCTCAGGGGATGTGCGTGGTTCTTATGTCCCTAAAGTATAAGAACTCTGGTCTAGGAAGGGAGAAAATAAATGACTACTGCTGGGGCAGTGGCAGGGTAGGGGGATGGAGCAGAGAGGAAAGATCTGAAATAAAGGGCAGAGGGAACCAAATAGGGACCCATTAAATGTTTGCACAATATACAGATGGCCCAGTGGAGTGGGAGACCACGCCTCATGATGACTGCAGGAAAGAGCACTGTTCATCAACAGCCCAGGTGGATGTGCAGATGAGGCAGAGGCTGGACTGACACAGGATGCTGCATCTCTCTAGGATGGGTATCAGAAAGATAAAGGTGTGGGAAGCCAAGGATGTCAGCAGAGCAGCGATCAGATTGATGAACATTAATGTGTGGACTGGTAGGAAGGATGGAGAAGAACAGACCTGTGCTAAATACTCTGTTAGCATTTAATCCTTTCAACGATCCCAGGAACTTAGGTTCTAGTATCCATCTAGTAATTATATTATCTATAATGGTATCTATTATCTGCACTTTACAAATGAAGAAACTGAGGTACTATGGCTTGGATATGGGTTGTTTGTCCTCTCCAAACCTCATGTTGAAGTGTGACTCCCAATGTTGGAGGTGGGGCCTAGTGGGAGATGTTTGGATCATGGAGTGGATCCTGCATGAATACCTCGGTGCCATTCTCCCGGTAGCGAGTGAGTTCTTGCTCTTGCAAGACTGTATTGGTTCTTGGAGGAATGGAGAGTGGGTTGTTATAAAGCCGGGATGCTCTTCAGGTCTGGTCTCTTTTTGCACATGCCATTTCCCCTTTGACCTTTTCCACCATGTTTTGACGCAGCACAAAAGCCCTCACCAGAAGCTGAGCAGGTGCCAGCGCCATGCTTCTTGTACAGCCTGCAGAACTTGAGCTAAATAAACCTCTTTTCTTTATAAACAACCCAGTGTCAGGTATTCTTTTATAGCAACACACAGTGGGCCAAGACGTGAGCTAGCAGGTGGATTAGCCAGGGTCCCAACACAGATCTATCTGCATGGAGGTGTGCTGGCAAGACAGGAAGACTGTGGTCAGAAAGTGGAAAAATGAAATTTAAAATTCTGAAGGTAGAACAACTTTGGGAAATGAAAATTCAGGGTGAGAATGCCTTAAATCTGGCAAAAGTAAATATGGCTGAACCTGAGGAATTAGTGTTTTATGGTACAGAGTTTTAGCTGGAGAAGATGAAAAATTTCTGCAGTTAGATCGTTGGTGATGATTGCAGAATCATGAGAATGCCATAAAACTGTATACTTTAATGGTTAAAATGGTAAATTATATGTTATATATCTTACCACAATTTTAAAAATCATGGAATTTGCTGAGGCTAAACTTTTGGATGAATTGTGTACAAAGCTCCTGAAGTCGTCATGAAGGAGGTCAGTAGTTGGGGTGGAGGAGGAGACTAGGGGTGACCAGGGGCCAAAATCTGTGATCAATGTACAAGAGTGACCCAGAGGCATCAGAGGACAGAGATGGGAAGAACTAGAGCAAGGCATTTTTTTGTGGGAGGTTGAAGGTGTGATGATTTCTTGGTGACAGGGAGCCCCGAGTGTGCTGACCCTCTTCCAGGGCCTTTAACAAAGAGGGGTTGGGGAAATAGGCAGCTGCTGCCAGAGGACTGGAAGAGAAGGGGCTTGCTATGGTTCAGATGCTTGTCACCTTGCCATTGTCATTGTAACAGTATTAAGAGGTGACATCTTTAAGGTGGGATCAGTCCATGAGGGCTCCGCTCTCCTGGGTAGGATTGGTGTCGTTATGTAAAGGTGAGTTTGGTCCCCTCTTGTTCCTTCTCTCCCTCTTGCCTTCTGCCACATGATGAAGCAGCACGAAGGCCCTCGCCAGATGCAGCACCTTGCTATTAGACTTTCCAGCCTCCAGAACTGTGAGCCACTAAATGTCTGCCTATTATAAATTACCCAGTCTCAGGTATTCTGTTATAGCAGCACAAAATGGATAGGGATCCTCTTGGCAGAGCCAAGAAATACCATTGTGGGAGAAAAGAGATGGTCTCTATATAACGGGAAAGGGATTCCAGAGGGACTGTTGAGGCAGAAGAATTTGGGAACATCAGAGACTAGGCTTGGGGTCAGAAGGTACCAGGTGACATGGTGATACCCGACGTGAGGGATGGTGAACACATCAACCTTCAGAAAGTGTCCAAAAGAAATAGATGCAAAAAGGTGTCCTAATACTTAGTAGATTATAACTCTGCCAAATAGAACACGGGTGAGAGTTTGTGAAACTGCTATTGCAGGCACCTGGGGGCTGGGCTCAGTCACCGCCACGGCCTCTGGCTTTTGAGGAAACAATGGCAGCTTTCAGGGAACACGGCCGCTGTTTGGGCCACGGAACTCTCTTTCCCTACACTCTCTTTCTTCATTTGTTCCTTTGTTCATTCATTCATTTAGTAATTCTTACTTGCATTTACTAGGTCTGTGCTAGGCATTGGGAAAACAGTGAGCAAAACCCAGCGCAATTCTTACGCTCATGAAATGTGTAGTTTGTTCTCATGAGAATTCAGCCAAAAGATGACAAAGTCATGAGAAGCTGGGCTTAAGTGCCAGGTAGGAAAGCTACATGGTCCTGCCATCCTTTTTCTTAGTCTCTAAAAATCATTCTCTCTTCCAACTCTCTTTGTTTGTCTAATCTTTCTCTTGTTCATTTCTTGTATCTTTCTGTGTTTTTGTTTGTTGTTTCTCAGCCTTTTCTCTCCTACTTTCCTGCTTCTTGTTCCATTCTTCCCTTCCCTGTATATCAACTGATTGTAATTTGAAACAATATGATGTGTAATTAAAATTTCTTTTCAATGTGGAATAACATTTTATGGTTTGTTGTCTTAATTTTTAAGGAACAGGAGTTGAATGCTAAACATCTCTCAGTACAGTGGAAACAACCTACTTAAATGGATTGTTTTTTGAATAAAGCAGTCTTTCAAAAATCAGTTTCACAAATGATTTTTCTTCAAAATTAGTGCAGAAAGTAGTTCCCCGTTATCTGAGGGGAGTATGTTCCAAGACCCCCAGCATAGGCCTGAAACCACAGAAGTATTGAACCCTATATATACTATGTTTTTTCCTATACGTACACACCTATAATAAAGTTTAATTTATAAATTAGGCACAGTAAGAGATTAACAATGATAGCAAATAATACAATAGAACAATTACAACAACATACTGTAATACAAATGGTCTCTTTCCCTCTCTCTTTCTCAAAATATCTTAATATTTTTGGACCATGGTTGACCACAGGTAACTGAAACCAAGAAAGGCAAAACTAGGGATAAAGGGGGACTAATGTACATTCTTCCCACCAAAATTAACTCAGATACAGCCACGTTCTC